CGTTCGAACATACTTTTACAGAGATAATAGTTGTCCTACTCATGCAATTACCTGTGGTGCTGGTACTGGTGTATATCTTCTGATACGGGTATCACCTCTCGTCTTCTCTCTCTCTCTCGTAGATATAGCTTCTCTCCTCTACTTTATATATTGCTTGTGTATGTATGGTGTTTGCATAATTATTGGGCATTTTAATTGACTACTGCTCTACATTTTTTGATAGCGGACCACAATTTTGCTACAAAGATTTGCAAGACAATCACCTTGGCCATCTCCTTACTTGGATACGTTTGGAGAAGAGGTAAACCTAGAAAGATTTTTCTTTTTTCCTTTAAATTTGATGAGTACGATCTTGTTGATACGGGTGTATCCATGCTATGGAATATTGTTTCAGGATATCGATATGACCAGAGGAAAACCACTATACCTGAATGAAGAACGTTATGCCACCTTAACTTACATGGTAAATGTTTGTCTGTCTCAACAATCAAAAGCTTTAGTTTGTATGGTAATATATATGTATCATTGTTTTGCTTTGTGAAATCCTTGTCAGGTTGGTTCTCATGGACTTGATCACAGTTCGAAAGTTCTCGGCCAAACCACAATTGGAGCCTTCGTACTTTAAACAGCGCTCTTTGTCAGACATTGTTTCTCTATGTTTCGAAATCATCAGTTAAGATTCTAAAGATTTGAGAGCTTTTCTGATGATTTTTACCTAATTAATTTCTGTCACTTTGGTTGATTTCTTTATTTGTGGATATATGAGATCGTGTTTGTAAATAGAGTATATTTTATTTGCGGTTGCGTAGGTTTTCTTAGCAATTATCGGTGCACATATTTGCATTGCTACTTTTTTTTTATTTATATTTATTCAAGTTTACTAATTTCTTTTACCTGAAAATGGTCGACAGATAAAAAAATAAAAATTACGTGTTGATTCGTTTTTAGAAAACAAAAAAAAAAAAGAGAATGAAAAAAGATAGCCATTTGAGGAGGTTTATAAATCCGATAAACTGTATGTACATATTCATCCAAAACCAATGTGTTTTGAGTTTTGATATCATCACTTCCATGTATGAAGATGGAAGAATTTGTGTCTTCTTCAACCATGTAATATTATCATATACTCAAAAATAAAAAGAAAAACCAACTGTAATCTTTTAAACTAGTTTCTGCACAATTATCATTTAAACGTAAACAGAAGATCATTTCCCACCATGTAAGTGAACAATAAAATTAAACTCCTGAGTGTACCTACCTATTCATTTTAGTTTGTGTATTAGACCAAAGCCGTCGATTCATAGATCGAGGCTGCGAGGAAGAGAATGAAAATGATTTTTCTTCACAATTCTCTTCCCAGCAAATCTTCAATTCTACTGGTTTCTTCACATGATCTCTGTATCAACAAGGATGGAATTGTTTTAGATTTGTTACTCAGATTAGTGACATTAAAGCAAAGATTTAAAATTTTCACTCACAGTTTTGTAAGCTGATGTATCCAGCTTTGTATGCACAAAAGATGAAGAAGATTTCTGCGTTAAGGGAAGAAAAGGTTCTACACAGGCTTGTCTTCTTCAGATGCTAACTCAGATGTTTCGGTTTCATGCTTCTCCTTTGCAAATGTAAACTCAAGCTGTCTTGATTTGATTACAGCTGTTCTTTTAGCTCTTAATCGATATGGTGGAGACACGTTGAAAGCATTCCCATTTGGTTCCAGTTTATCATCATCCCTGCAATCATCACTTGTCTCCAGCAACAAACTTTCTCTCCCAGCTGGAGAAATGTCTGAACTATCTTTACTGTCTTCTTTTTGATCAACTTCCTTAACTCCAACATTAACAACATCATCATCTGCTTTCGCCGCCAAAACAACTTTTCGCCTTTTCCTAAAAATAGAAGGTGTGTTTGGAAAAGTCCTAGCAGCTTCTCTCAAGAAAGATTCAGGACTTCTTGTTGCAGCTAAACCACTGTCTTTATTACACGGTGGAGTCATTAAGCTGACTGGTGTTGCAGCACCGGGACTGCAACCACATTCATATCCGTACATATGCTGCAGATCCGCTTCTGATGGAAAGTAATAGTCAAGTGGAGACTTGTAGTATAAACTCCCATGCTTTGGAGTTCCAAACCCATTTTCTTCTTTCCTCTGGATTGATCTTTCACCATAAGCTTTTGAGTTGATTCTGACTTCCTCTGAAATTGGTTCCAGATTAGGCAACTGAGGCTTGTACTCAACGGGAGAGCAAGCATACTCATTGACACCGATTCTTCGTGAAGCAGCTACTTCTTCAAGCAGAGCTGAAGAAGAGTCAAAATGGTCTCTTCCAACTTCATTTGAATCTGTATTTCCTGAAGAGGTTTGGGTAACAGAATCAGAATCCTTGAAAGGTTTAGTTGCACTAGACTGCTTGGAATCTCTGTCTCCATCACCAATATCATTCAGAACGCTGAATTTGGTTGCTGGCGGTGGCAAGTTACCGGTTGCTAAGTAGAACTCTAACTTTTTCTTCAGTGAACTATTCCAATGGTTCTTTATGGCGTTATCAGTCCTGCATAAAAGTAGGTAGACATCAGAAACAAAAACTGTATGAGATGTTCAAAAATATCAATCAACTTTATTTCTTAGAAGACCTTTTTCAACTATGTTCAACAAGAAAGTACTGTGTACCTTCCCGGTAAAACCTTAGCAATTTCCGCCCATTTGTTTCCGTACATTCGATGAGAATTCATGAGAGCTGATTCTTCTTCTATGGTCCAAGCATCCTTTCTAATACCAGGATTTAAATGGTTGTGCCACCTGTAATCATAAACACATTGTGGCTTCCAAATTCAAAGGAGGCATAGACTCTATTCTTCAGATGGTCAATATTCTAATCTTTATTACCTTTCTCGACATTGCTTCCCGATACGACCTGGTAAAGACTTCGCGATAACAGACCATTTGGCAGGTCCATACTTTTTTACAAGTTCAACGATTTTATCATCCTCCTACATATCACAAAAGAAAGGCAATTTTAGAGCTAGCAAATTTTACGAGAAATCAAAAGCAAAAAAGTTTCAGAACATGAAGGAAAAGAGAACCTCTTGAGTCCAAGGTCCTTTAACAAGCTCTGGATTAAGAACTTTCTGCCACCGGTGCAAGCATTGGACTTCTGTTCTTTCTGGAAAAAATTCCGCTTCAAAATGAAATACAAAAAGTCAAACCAGAACAATGATTGAAACCAGCTACTTTAACTTTTAAGAGACAAAAGAAATTTTGGTTCTCTTGCAAAGTGCACAGCAGATAATGTTTAGTGAATGAGAGAAATTCCCACAAAATTCTCAGCAGATTTAAGATAAGAGTTCAGTTTTCGAATGTATAAATTATACATTCAAGTAAATACATCTAGACAAGAGTTCAGTTCCCAAATACAAATCTTATAAATTATCCAAATAGGTCATTAGAAGACCAATAATCTTATTTGATGTGTTGCAACACTACTTTTACAGGAAATAGATTCAAGAAAAGAAATTTACCAATTTTCTTCCACCTCTTCCCCTTATACTTGTCAACTGCTCGTCTAAGTGTCTCATCCTGAATAGTGATAGAAACCAATTACAGGCCACAATAAGGCTAGCCTAATCTTTTCATTCAAGTAAACACTAATCCATATACATATAAGATACAAAGTCGAATGAGGTTGCTCCACACATCAACTAAATTATGAAACCGAAAACCAGGAAATTATAAATAAAAGAAACAACTAACCTCCTCTGGAGTCCAACCACCTTTTGCTCGTCTCATAGGGCCACTAGTCCTCCTGCAAGATCAACATTAAAACATTGCAAAACCCAAAATGAGTTCGGTTCAGAACTCATAGTTCCAAGTATAGTCATCACAGCACAATCTTTCCGATCAATCAATTTCATAACAAGTTGTATAGACTCACAAATAGAAGATGAAATGTAACAGACAATAAATGTACCGAGGAGTTGAAGATACAGTGGCAGGAGTTGCGATTTCAGGTGACTTGAGGAAGAAACAGCTACTGCCTTCGGATGCAGAAGAGCAAGAGGCAGCTAATGGTTGCTTATTCTCCATACATTGAATCTCAATTTTCAATTCACTTCTTTCCTCCTAAAGACCCATGAACATTACCAAAAATCCAGAATTTTCGTGAAAAAAACATAAGATTTGACAACAGAATGAAGCAGAACGGATCTTTATCAACCAATTAATCCAAAATCAGAAAACCCTAAAAACCCAACGGCCGCAAAACTGAAGCCAGATCTCAGAAATCGGGGAAAATCACTAAAACAAGTCGATTTCTTTCAAGCATAAGATGTTTAGGGTTTATACAATTCTAATCATTAGAAACCAATAAGACCCTTTTCCTAGACCCGTTAAAACGTGTTCCGATTCAGACCTAAAACCCATGAACTCATACCACAGTAGAAGAAGATTACAATCTGATCACAAGAAATGAAAAGCCCTAATCAGATTCAGGGAAAAATCTGACCTTTTCCGGTGAACAAGCCGCTGGATTCGAACTTGAGCTCATCGTGATAGACAGATGGGCGAATTCGCGAGGACGAAAAACAAGGGTACGTTAAAAAACCAAAACTTTATTCGAAAAAAACTTTGCCCGTTGAACGAGAGAGAAGAGAGAAAGGAGAAGGAGACTAATGGAAAAAAAAAAAAAAATTGGGATTAATAAAAAAGGTTAAAACAAATATTGTAACGAATACTTCTTCCGTCGACGTAACTGTTATTCGCCGTTAACCTGGCACCGGCCGGTTTATTACAAACCGACTCGAATGTACTATATGAAAAACATTTAAATTGGTTTGGAATAAACCGGCCGGTGCCTAGTTAAATGAAATTGAGAAATTGTATGTATTTGTACGAAATTTATGTGACTGGGCTTATTAAATTATTCTTTCGAATAAAAACGAAAACAACGAGTTTCAATGCGTGGTTTAATAAAACCGGTTATCTAAAACCAAACTATAACCGTAAATTGGTGACAAAAAACTCCATGGGAATTTAACGGACGTTAAAGGTAGAAGAAGAAGGGTTAACGTTGGAAACAAAAGTTTCAACCTCAAACGGCACTATTTAGCTAATGCGTTGACTATCGTACACGTCGGCAATTCAGAGGTCCTCGATGATTATGGACCGTCAGATCATTAAGAAAACTCACTCATTCTGGGGTTTTTACTGTAGTTTCTTAAGCGAGAGCCGTCCCATGTATTTATTGGCCCATAATTAAAAGCCCAAAGGCCGATGAAGAATTGAATCAATCCGGTTTGTTGTGTTATAAGCCGTTGAAAATATGAAACAAAAAGTATTACGGGTAAACAACCAGACAGAGATGATGAAGCAAATGGGGAACTAGGATAACTGGATAAGCAACAAGAGACGAGAAAGCACATACATAGATGGCATTTACAAGATTCTATCCAAACAACGTAAAGAACAAAATGTCATGTTTTCCCTTTTAAAAACAACTCTGTATGGACAACGGTGTTCATGATGACCATCGCAAAGTGGTCGAGACATGGTCTTGTTGCCAAGTGTATGAAATGCCTTCTCTTGAGTGATTATGGTATGACCAGATTTCATATACGGATGCTTCCCAAGCAAACAATGAACATGAAGAGTGGTGCAACAGTAGTCATTGCACGCATAGAACCCACCTTTTTGTGAATATATTATCTTGCGTTCACATACCTCACACCAGCCACTTGCTTCATTCACTTTGCAAAATGTGAGGAGATGTTTGTCATGCTTATACCTTGCCTTGTATGGTAATGTAGCGCACTTGAAACATATAATAAAATCGCATTCAATGCAATTTAGTTTTCGACAAAGACGATCTTTTTTTTGGCAGATATGACATTTTGCCGCTCTTTCTACCTTTGGCTTTAAAGCTAGAAATAAAGGATGCTTATGGCCTTGATATTCAAACGGTTCGGTGACCAAGGCACACTGTAAGTCTAGTCTGAAATCTTGATCTTCTACTGAACTCTCGTAGACGAAACCACAACTATCACGCTTACAAGCATTACAATAGAAGTAACCTTTGTTGTTGAGGTCTCCATATTCATTAGTGACAACCTTCAATGTAAGTGGGTGAGGATGCAACGCATGATGTTTCTTGCGAGGAGCATTTGCACATGCTTCGTGGAGGATGAAGTCACACTCATCCATACATGAATAATAGGATCCCTCATAGATTGGAAGGACACACCCTTGACAAAGCTTGTTTTCATCGTAAACTTTACATGTCTCGAGTTTTAGATAATGGCCATGAGAAAAATGGAGTATTATTCCATCAGCTATCGTCTCAAATGGTTCGACAATTATCTCAGGTTCTTCGGGTACTCCCTCGAGATCCTCTCCATCCCACACGTCTTCTCGCAACGCACATCTTGTATGAACAAAATAGTTATTACACTTGCTGCAAGAGTATGCACCATAGTTATTGTCAACATTTTGACGACAAACTCCGCAAGACCATTTTCCAGATGGAAGATAAGAGGTAAAAGAGATACGGTGGTGGTGACGAGATATTCTTATGACATGCGGGAAATAGATACAATCTCGATGGACTATGAAGACACATCGAAGACAGACATAGGTGGGAATACGATCTTTAATCAGGCCGCAAACATTGCAGGGTAAGAAAAATTGTCTTGGGAAAAAGGTGAGAGAGTGTTGATGCCTTTTCGGGTGGTCAATAACAAAGGGTATTGGTTTCATGGCACAAACCGGATGCATAGTTAAGTTGTAGGTAGGACATTGATAAGACATTTGAAGGAAATTTGTTTCACAACAGTTGCAAAACAATAGGCTCAAGGGAGGACAATAAAGCTGGAGAGATTGAAAAGGATAGGAAGGGTGTTTGATCTCAAATGGAGACTCCACACATTCTTTGTGGAATTGTTTACCACATGTGAGACAAAAATAATAGTTTGTACCATGTTTTGAGCCATAACATGCACCACAATAAAATTCCCCATCATCATTATCAGATTCTTTATTGTTGCACCAAAAGAGAGGGACAACAGGAAGCTTACATATAACATCATGGCTGTCGGAATCAAGCAGATATTGGACTTGTTGATCACTGCTGGGGAAGTGTGGGGAAGTATTGAGCGGGAACATGTTATCAGATGAAGCTTCCTTCTTATGTTTTAACTGGTGAACTTTGAGACGTAAAGAGGGACATAAGAAAAGAGGTTGAGTAGGGCGGTTGTCTCCACCGGAATCAATGGTTGCTTGAGTGGAGGAGGACAGTTGACTGTCTATTTGCGATAACAAAGTGTAAATGAGATTTGCTTTTCCATCGATTTCTCCCTCTCGAAATCCACCAATGGAATTCATTGCTTGTGAATTGTGTGATATTGCTCCTCTCTTTCTTCCCATATATACAAACACAACGTCAAAGACTCAAAATACAGCTAATCTCTTACACATATTATTTTTTTTATTCAGGTCTTTTATATTATTTTCTTATACAGCTAATCTTACACTAATGTTACATTTTTATACTATTCATTGTCATCGAAGAACTCATTCATTATTGTGTAGGAAATTTTGAAAAATGTCCGCTTCCCAACACTGTACTTTTTTTTTCTTTCAAGATCGCCTTTTGCTGTATAAAAATTAAAAAAGTTTAAAATTTAAGATATAACTAAATACGTGTGTAATTTTATAAAAACATACATAAATTAGTTTTATACGTTGTAAAACTTATAAATACTTTGTAAAATTTTATAAATCTTACAAAGTTTTTTGAATGATTTTAAATATTTTATAAAACCTTGAAAACGATGTGTATGTACCATTCTTTTAATTTTATTTTGTTAATATATGTTACCATTCTTTGGATTCTTGATTAAATGTAATATAAAATCTTTGATGTTATCTGGAAGGATTGAATATGTTATCATTTTCGCAGTCTGACTCTCTCACGGGTATCGGACAAAATATTCGTTTAATATTTTCATAAATTGTTGTCAAACAAAAAAAGTTGCAATTAATCCAAAACCTGACCTGCTGACCATGCGAATTAATATCCAAAATCATTGATGATTCTGGACCGTGGGATCAAAAAGAGATGACACCCTCCGGTCTTAGCGAGAGCCGGCCGATCTCAAAACTTAATGGCCAGACTAAAAATTGTAGTAAGTTGGGAACAAACATGGGCCAGAAAGTAACGTTTTGGCTCGCCAGTGTGTACCGTCGGATCATGGAGATAACTCATCCAACGGTAATTTCTTAATCTGTTAGCGACAGCCGTCCGATCTAAATCACCCAGGGCATATAAATGGGCCCGAAGTCCGAGAAAGTAAGAAAAAAAATAAAAATAAACAAAAGGCCTTTTTAAAAATTGAACATAAGCCAATTCAAAAATACCAACGGATCACACAGACACAACACAAGTCACTAGTAGCTCCTCAAATTTTGAAATGAACTCATCCTCTCTCTCCTTTTCTCAAACATACAGAGATATGGATTTGTTGGATTCTTCTTCGATTTCTAAAGTCAGGGTCGTCCTTAGGGTTCGTCCTTTTCTTCCCCGGGACGAGGGGCGATCGTGCGTTTCCGTAATCAACAGCGATGACGGAGAGGCTAGCGAAGTGACTGTTCACCTCAAAGATCCAGAGAGCTGGTAATCGTCTTTTTGTTACCCCCTTGGTCAATTTTGGTTCTTATTACTAGAATTTGAATACGGATTCGGTGTAATTTGGAGCAGTCGTAACGAAAGCTATCAGCTGGATGCGTTTTACGGGAGAGATGATGATAATGTGAAGCAGATCTTCGATAGAGAATTAAGCCCTTTGATTCCTGGGATCTTTCAAGGCTTCAACGCCACCGTGCTTGCTTATGGAGCCACCGGAAGCGGAAAGACGTTTACGATGCAGGTCTGTTAAAGCTTCAAAATTTCACAAATTTTGGATTCAGGCTGAAATATAGAAATTGGATTTCTCTTTGTTCTGTGCTTAATTTCTGCTGGGAATTGGAGAATTTGTGAGAAATGTTGTTTGATTGTAGAGGAAAGGATTGGGAAAATATCTCCTCACAAGACCATGAAAATGAGAGATTTTTACTGATTTACACTTTGTTGGGCTACTTTAGCTTCTGAGTGAGTGGTTTTATATAACTCTTTTTTCTTTATGAGATTTTATCAAAACCAATGTCATGTTAAGCTCTGGAATGGCTTTAACAGATATTGATAGCTCTTCCGCATTACTGATTTTTGTGGGGTTTCTGTAAATTGCTTCTTTGTAATGGTTTCAGCTCTTTTTGCATTTGATGTATCAGGGAATTGATGAGCTACCAGGTCTGATGCCATTGACCATGTCCTACATTCTGTCTATGTGCGAGAAGACAGGAAGTAGAGCAGATATTTCATATTATGAAGTTTACATGGACAGATGTTGGGATCTCTTAGAAGTTAAAGCCAATGAGATTGCTATTTGGGATGATAAAAATGGACAAGTTCATCTTAAGGGACTTTCTAGTGTCCCTGTTAACTCCATGCCTGAGTTTCACGAGGCATACTCGTGTGGCGTTCAGCGGAGGAAAGTTGCACACACTGGTTTAAATGATGTCTCTAGTCGAAGTCATGGAGTGCTTGTGATCTCAGTAACCTCTCAAGGGGATGTCACTGGAAAAATCAATTTGATTGACCTGGCAGGTTATTTTTTTTTTGCATTTTTGAGTATCTAAATACATGGTAAGAGCCTCTATATGTTCTTCTCTGTAATACTAACAAAAATTCCATGGCTTAACCAGGTAACGAAGATAATAGAAGGACAGGCAGTGAAGGAATCCGTCTTCAAGAGAGTGCCAAGATTAATCAGTCATTATTTGCTTTGTCCAATGTGGTTTATGCACTGAATAATAACCTGCCAAGAGTTCCTTACAGGGAAAGCAAATTGACTAGAATACTGCAGGATTCACTTGGAGGAACAAGTAGGGCTCTCATGGTCGCATGTCTGGTAAGAAGATAATCCTATTGTTGTTTATTGGGTTCATTGCTTTGATCAGGAAATATCCTTAGTGGCTAATGTGATGAATCTATTTGCTTCTTTTTGTTGTTATAGAATCCTGGAGAATACCAAGAATCTCTTCGCACTGTTAGCCTGGCTGCAAGGTCAAGGCACATTTCAAACAATATTTCTTTGAATCCCAAGGTAGAGACCCCCAAGGTTAAGATAGATATGGGAGCAAAACTGCAAGCTTGGCTTGAATCAAAAGGCAAGACGAAGAGCGTGCATAGAATGATGGCAATACGGTCTCCATTGATGGGTACAAACCAGACTTCAATTTCTCAAAGCTCAGTCAAGAAACTCGGATGTCAAAGATCAACCATTGCAGAAAGTGCTAAACTTGATGGCAAAGGAGAGAGGTATCCCTTTGAATGGTTGAAATCTTAATTGTTTTACATCCTAAAATCTATTCCCTCACATTATATCCATATATACAGGGACGCATTTGTGACCGCAAGGAACTTATTTGGTGGGGAAACTCATGCTGCTTCACATTTATGGGTATGCTGATCTACTTTCATTGTGAAAAACATATTGCACGTTTTATCTATTTACGTTAAAAATTTACTTAACTACTTGAGTGGTTTGAAAAATCCAGGAACCAATACAGAATCTGCACTTAGCTTCTCCAACCAAAGGAGATGAGAGAGACACATCTGCCAAAGAGAATCTGTTGGTATCAGAAGCAAGCTTGAGAGGTTCGCTTTCTTGAGCCACTTGTTGATAAGTGTTTGTGGGCATTTTATATGTCTTCTTACTTTTGTTTGTGTTATTTCTAGATAACTCACTCGGGCTCGAAAAGGAATACACAGAACTGAGTCCTTTTCGAGAAGCTCTGTCTCCAGTAGACTCAAATGCACCAAAATCAGCAGATGCAAGCTCTCCCATTCTCAAGCCAATGACTCCAAAAACACCTTTTATTTATGCAAATGCTGAGAATATGCAAATGGAAGGCACTTACCAGAAATTCAATGCTTGGAGCACTAATTTAAAGGTATGAATCAACACTTTCAAAAACATGGTATTTGATGACAAGAACACTAGAAATCTGATTCTCTGCAAAAAAAAATTCATTTCACAGACCTCTCTCATAAAAGAGTACATTCACTTCTTGAACACAGCCAACAGGTAATAATAGCCTCCAGTCACATCTGCCTTAGATTCTTCATAAACCTTAGGATCACACAAGAACTAACTTCATTCATATATTCATTTGTGAACACACAGAAAGGAGCTAAGGGAATTAAAGGTAACTTTACTTCTCTGTAAACAGGCACAGACCGCCCCGTGAATCCAAAAAGCTCTGCTTCATAGTCAATATTGGTTTCACTGCACAGCTCTGTTTCATTTTTCATTTTTTTGTTTTCAGGGAATTGGACAGAAGATGGCTGAGTACATTATTGAACTCAGAGAAACAAGCCCTTTAAAATCGGTAACACACTCCATTTCTCCCCCAATTATACGCCTTTAGTTCTAAACTCTCTTTCATCTACTAACCATTGTTTGGATTTTAAACAGCTTACAGACTTAGAGAAGATCGGTTTCACCTCAAGACAGGTACATAACCTATTCAAGAAAGCCACTGAAGGAATTCTTGAGAAGCCAGTTACTGCTTCAACAACACCTTAGTTGTTGTCTCTAGCAAACAAACAACACTTGTGTATTATTAGTTCTGTCTCGTGTAATTTCATTATTGTCTGTTCTTGTTTGTTTAACTTTATAACCAGAGAGACATGGACTTGAATCTTAATTGTGTAGGGAGCAGGAAAGATGCAAACTTTAAAGTTTCTCACTGAAACTTCACTCCAAAATAATCAAATACAGACCCATAATAGATTTCGATTAATACAGTCACAAAGATAAAACTTTGCAGAGATATCTTAATGACCAAACCATAAAACACACAGAAGAAAGAAGAGAAAGACCAACTTCGCCGGCAAAACTACCGGCAAAATCAGCCAATTATTACATATAAGCAAACCTAACGTAACATTAGGGTTATTACAGACTTAGGGTTTATGGAGTTCTTCATTTGCAGGTGCAAGGGTTGCACTTGCAGTCAGATCCGCACTTGCAGGCATCATTCTCGGCAACGAAAGTCTCGCCGGAAGCCTCGTACTGAGAGTTCATCGCCGGAGCAACGCCGAGGACAAGTGTCTCGGTGGCGGTGTTCTCCAAGTCTGGGTACATTTTGCAACTGTACAAAAAAAAAAAACAGAGATCGTTTGTCAAAAATTAAGAATAAATAAAAACAAAGAGATTTGATTAAAATTGTATAGTAATCTCATCGAGAAATTAGGGTTTTTGATTTTCCGGGAATATTTACAGAAAAAACAAAAGTGAGAGATCGAGAAATTACCCGCCGCAACCATTGCCGCACTTGCAGCCAGATCCGCAACCACAGCTTCCACCACAGCAAGACATGTTTTTTCTAGAAAATTGGAAGAGATCTCAGAAGAATTATGAAGATGATCTTAATTTGCCTTAACAAGCTCTAAACAAATAATCAGTGAATGAAACTTATCAATTGAGGAGCTTTGATATTTATAGGCGAAATTAGAATTTATGGACCGTCCATGTGTCAAACGATCTTTGTCCACTCTTATCACCTAAATAATCGTTCCTCAAGTAAACAGAAAATAAAATTTTCATAATTTAGAGTTGGAAATAAAAGCTTTTCACATCTATAAAGATTTACAAACATGAAAAAAAATCTTACAAAATCTTAGATTTTAATCAGGAAAGCAAAGTAACAATTATCACAAATAAAAGTATAAATATATATATTTCCATTTGACAACTAAGACATAAATTTTCTTTCAATATCTCCTTTGTTCATTGATCTTCACTAAAAGTTTCATATTTTCATTAGTTCTCTCTTTAATTTACATATATTGAGATTAGTTTGTACTTTAGATATCACTTTTTTCGCTTTTGTTAAATGGTTTTCACTTTAGATATGGCTTTGGTTTATCCAATTTGAAAAAAAGTCTTAAAAAACAAGATGTTGCAAAAGTAAAGTAGTGTTCCAAAGTTCGGCTTCAATGACTTTTGTCAAAAGGTCCCGTGAAGTGAACAAAAAGATGATTCAACTTGTTGAGATGGGCTCTCAATTGAAATAGTGGGCCCATTATCGACCTTGTCCGTTCTATGTGGGTATTCGAATCGAATCTCTCCTTTGTCGATACATTTTCCAAAATTCGTTCTAGGTAAAAAGTAATGGAAAAAATATGAGAACCATCCATATGGGAATCATCATGCAGTGTCGATAAGTCTAATTCTATAAAAAGTAAAAGAGTGTCTATATGAAAAAAAGGGATTGTATTTTCCTTTCTCGTGATTCCCTGACAAAGAACTTACGTGAAGAAAACAAAAATGATTAATCATGTAGTAGTAGTTTTTGGGTTTACACGTTCCGAAGAATTTAAATGAACACTTGCATAGTTATATACAATTTCGAAAATTGAATAAAAAACAAAGCGCCCACCGTGGGGCTCGAACCCACGACCACAAGGTTAAGAGCCTTGCGCTCTACCAACTGAGCTAGACGGGCTATTGTTTACAATAGGTAGCAACGTATTATTTATAGCAACGTATTATTGCACACCACGTTTGGTTACAAGAACATAACATGAGAACCTTCTTATCAAAAATATTTACTCCAAACTTTTTTATCCTTACTCATGTTAACACATGATTTCCTCTACAAACTCTTTTACACACAATTTATCACAAATTAACAACAACAAAAACTCGTACAAACACCATCCTTTCTCTATTATGTACCTTAAACTCCAAGCAAAAAAAAACAGAAAATCCAAAAAAAAGGAGGAATATGAAGAAATGAGTTCTTGAATGCCCTATTAACCTGATACAAGCAATTCTTCTAGAAGCTCCTCGAAGATCAAATCCTCAACTTCAATCCCAACGCATTCACTCTCGAACTGCAAATCCATCCATCCATCGTCTTTCGACAAATCCCTACTCATAATCTTATCAAACGATTGTTGTTCGTCGTATGGCTTGTACCGCAAGTAACAGCTTATTCTAACCCAAACCTCTTTCAAAACACTATACCCCACTGGCATTGGATGGATCTTACATAGGGATGATAATGGTTTGGGACAATAATGGTAAGACCTTTCGTAGATCTCGATTAGTACCTCGTTGATTAGATCGAAGAGAAGCAAATGGTTGCAGTTACCGCCTTCTTCTTCGTTTCTTGAACATTCTGGATCTTGGAACATACATCCTGTTGTTGTTGTCACTTCTTCGTAGACTAATGGATCTAACGGCTGATAATCTAATTGCCACATTGAGAGAGATTCTGGTGCATTGAAACCGGAGATCTCGAGAATGTCTCTTACATAGTTGAATTTCACTTTATCTTGTGCATCTATGTTGAGGACTTCGTCTAATTGTTTGCTTGTTGAGACAATCTCTGTATCTAGATCTGAGCAACAAACAAACAAAAAAAAAATTCAATTTGATCGAAAACTTTGATATGGAGAAATAATGGAATGTTAAAGATATATACATACCTCGAGAGATGTCAAATACAGAAGGATTTTCATCAAAACCAACTGTAGAAACGTTATTAGGACTTTCTTCTGATGATTCTTTTAAAGATCTTGTTTCAGTTTCAGCGTCGACAAGCGTAGAGATGTCTCTGTCTTGTTCTGTTTCTGCGTCAACTGGTGAATCTTCAGAAGCACTCATTGTTTGATCAAGTGTTTCATGTTCTGAAGATTGAGAGTGATCTTCTGAGATCTCTGAAATGTTATCCAAACCAACTTGTTCTTCCTCGATTGATTGGACAGGAAGGTCATCAATCTTCAAAGCATTAAATTTCATTTCAGGTAACGAAAGAATCCTTCCCAAGAATTTAGGAGCTCTCTTAGAAGGCAAAGCCGATTCCTCTAACTCCATCTTTGATTTCTCTGAATTACTATTGTTCTTCGCGTCTCTTTGGAAGCTACACTCATAGAGCTGAAGATATCTGTCTAGCGATCCACACAGCGACGATGCTCTAGTTATTTGCTTCAGCTTCACGCCATCTGCTTTGATGCTGCTCTTAGCTGCAGAGTTTCCTTTTAAGTGTGCAAAAATGTCGTCTCTCAAATCTTTAGAAAAACCGTACTTTCGAGGTACTTTGTCTAAAACAGCATCCATAGTGATACGGTGTTTCTCATTCTTGTTCTCGTTAATCACATGCTTAATCTTCTGCCTTAGATCCTTAAAACGTTTGATCACAACTTGGTTCTTTCCTCGCTTCCTTGCATAACCAGAACCAGATGAATCTTCATCAGCCAATTTCAACATTGTTTCATTCATCTTCTGAATCCCATCAGCTCTGTGCTCTGCAGCTATGGAAGGAGATGTTGGTTTTTTATGGATATCTCCCACTGAGTCAAACCCATTATTATGATCCTCTCTGTTGCTTCCATGAGTAGGAAAGGATCCAGCTTTAGTCATTGTTTTTGAGCTAAAAGATTGTTGGCTCTGGAAATGCCGGGCTAGAGGAGAACCCGGATCCTGCAATACTTTCAACAAGAAGTTTCTATTCATGTGTATCAAATTAAGAGCATCAAGACATGCTTTTGACCGTCTAGGTGATGTATCATCCTCATTCTCTGAGAAGTCCTTGTTGTGTCTCATCTTTGGGTCAAACCAAGCTTCATCATCGTCGCTCTTGTCCTTTTTCTTGAACTCTTTTTCATCAAAATCTGATTTACTTCCATCAGTATCATCAACTTGAATGTTGTTCTCTACTCTAAACTCTTCACTGTCACTGTTGCTTGATTCCTCAGACATGAGATAAAGCGGGTTCAAAGAACCAATCGCGGGTGAAATGCCAACCGTCTTGTTAAAGACTCGGTTACGATCATCACCATTTGAGGAATTCTTGTCTGAAGATTCAACCTCACTCAATGACTCCTTCTCTTTTGGATTTGACTGGACAGGATAAGTACAGCTACGGTGATGACGGCCTTTCTTCTTAGACTTGTCCTCTATTACAAGTGCCTTGATCAAAGCCTTGACAGATCTTTTGATTTCAGAATGTGTTTTTCTTGACCTCTCTTCTGAATTAAGTTTCTTGGACTTCTCCTCTGAAATATGCTTCTTTTTTGGTTTCTCCCCTGAGTTAGAAGACTCTTTGGATTTTACTGCAGAACTAGGCCTCTTTGGCCTTTGCCCAGAGTCCTGAAGCAATGAATCCCATAGGTGAGGAGGGTTAATAAAATTTTATACTAAACCAATGTAAGGTATTCAAGTTTGCAGCAACTTACTACATCTGTTTTATCTTCCAGCTTGGTCTTGGGTACGGGAATACCATCTGGGATTGTGTTGTTTGCTTCGCTTTTTGTTCCTAAAAGCAGAAAATGGAAAATGTTACAAAAGATAATCAATTATGCTCATGAGATTCCTTAAATAAAAGCTGTGAATATAGGAGCTGAGAACATCAAACAGAACCATGGCATATACATATCTATTACTAACTAGGCTTCAAGCAAATCCAACCTAACTAAAATTGAGACTGAACGGGGACATGACAAAGACACCAAACAAAGGCACGAGAGAGCACAAGAATCACGAAAACTGTCTTACCAGGAGAATTTCTTCTACAAATAACGGGTCTTTTATGAGGAAGTCGTTTCTTGATGTAACGCCAATGGTTATGCTTAAGAATGTCAAATAATCCCCACATGAATCCAGGGTGGTTTTGGATTGGGGAGCAAGTAACTTTGT